CGGGTGACACCCCGACCTCATTTTTGCGTCTGGCCGTGGTTCGGATCTGGGAGCGCAGAGCTCTGGTCTGTCCTACATCTCTGTTCCGCGGGAAGGCCTCGGCTCTCGCAGCTCCGCGGGCCCTGCAGGGCAGCTCTCTAGCTAAAGGGAGGTGTGTTCAGGCGCAGCCTTTGCTGTGTCTCCTGGTGCTGAGGTCTGTCGGTGAGAGCTGGCCTGGCAGTGCTGCGCAGGAGGGGTCTGTGGGGTGACAGCAGCCCTCGAGAGTGTGTTCTGTCACTGAGGGTTTGCTGTGTGTTCGCTGTGGTTTAGATCTACACATTCTCCTTATCGTTACCTGTATTCTCAGCTTGCATTGTTACTGCTCTTGTATTTTCTGTTCAAGTTCCTTATTTTTATTAAGGATGTAGCCCTTTCTGTGTAGTATGGAAATGCTCTGAGGTATGAGATGGAGTCTCTATGGAATTAGAGACTTGTCACTAAGATATAATGGCAAACAGGATTTATCATATTACTATGACCTAATTTTTCTGTCATAAGTTTTATAAGTATTACATAAATAATTACTCCTACTTAAAGTATTTTATTTAGTCTTTGTTAATGCCAGAGAAATTAAAAGAAATAAAGGCAGTGTGGCCTACTTAAAAATCACTTTTCAGTAGTTAGTAAAAAAAAAAAAAAAGTAGAATCATCATTTACCTGGATTTTTATTTTTTTTTTCCTGTCAGGATCCCCTAGAGCTTATGTTCTCAATGAAATATAGCTTTTATATATTTTTTTAAATAGCTTTCAAAATTAACATGAACAGAAGTGATATGGTGAAAATAGGTGAGGGAAAATCTGTAATAACCATCCTGGATCAAATAACATTGTTTACACCAAGAGCAAGAGAGACATTTTTCTAGAATACAGTGACACTGGAAAAGAAAAAAACTTAAGATACTTTGATGGAGTGATTCTAAAAAATAAGAAAGTAATTTGATTCTTTATTCCTCTTTTTTTGCTATGGTAGCCCCCAGCTCATGTAATCATGGGCATAAATGCAGAAATTAAGTGCATTTCTTCAGACTGCTGCTAAACCGGCAAAACCTGTCAGTACCCAGCTTTGATTTGGTATTGGGTTCAGGCAAATATGCTGTTTTTCCACATTTCACTTTTTAAGATGGGACTGTTTCCTTAACTCTGAACAAAGAGGGCCTTCCTCCATTCTTTGCACTTGCTCGACTGTAAAAAAACAAAACAAACCCCAACGACAACAAAAACCAAAAACCCCCCCAGTGTGTTTTATTAATGCAGGTCCAACACTGATTCATCTAAAGAGAGCTTTCCTAAATGAACCTGTATTTATTATGGGGAGTTACTGCTTTTTTTTCCTGCTTAAACACGTTATCTCTGTATGGCTTACACTGAGAAAATTATTTTGAAATCTGTTGTGTGAGTCCAATTCTTACTGTTTTTCTCATGCATCAGATGATACAGGAAATAGACTTCGGTTCCAGCTGGAGTTAGAGTTTGTTCAGTGTCTGGCAAATCCAAATTACCTCAACTGTGAGTACTGAAAAATAAGTATCAGGATCCTGAGGAATTAGTATAGTTTAATGGTGTTTATTATTACAGGTAACGTTAAACAGGGAGAGAGAGGGCTAAACAAAGAAAAAGGGAATGGGTCTTTCATAGCATAAAGATAGTCTGTGAATAATTTAATTTGTCTAGATTTCTAACAGGTGGGGTTTTTAAAAGGCAAAATGTTTTATTGGTTGAAATTAAAAAAAAAAAAAAAGCATATTTCTGGTGGAGAATAAAAGCAAGAAGTTCAAGTGTGTAGTTAAAAAGTAATTGTCAAGTTAACAATATTCCTCTACCTGAAAACAGAATTTTACTAATCTTTACCTGTAGTTTCAGGTAGTAGACTTAATTTTTATGGTGATTTTGATGCTACAATCACAATTTTCAAAAAGCTGTTCTTGTTGTTGCTGTTGTATGAAAAATGCATACCGTAAGGGAGATGAGACTAGTTTATTATGTATGTTGACATAAAATATATTTTTCTCTGTGGGGTTTTTTTTTTATTTTTAATTATCAACATTTGATTGTAATGATAAAGTTTTAACTCAAATGCCTCTTTGTATAGTTTTGTGAAAACGTATTCTTCAAGTTTGGCAGTTTGTTTTTTTTTCATGGATCTAACTGACAATTTCTTGTTATTTTATTTCAGTTCTTGCACAAAGAGGCTACTTCAAAGACAAAGCTTTTGTAAATTATCTTAAATATTTACTTTATTGGAAAGAACCTGAATATGCAAAATACCTGAAGTAAGTGTTAAAATCTCCTAAGTTTCTGTATTTTAATGATTTGATGTTTACCTTCTGTTACATACTGTACAGCAGCACATCAGTATTTGATTTCTGCCTGTAGCCTTACCTTTGTCATCCCCACTGTGTTTATGTGCAACATAAATTTTCCTGTTTCCAACAGTCCAGATGCAGCAAGAATAGACAAAATTATAAAACTCACCTTTCATGAGTCATGCGTGGAATTTTCCTTTTGTAGACTATATCTGCACTTTACCATTTGTTTAAAATAAAACTATCCAACGTTGTGGTACAAAACTACTTCAGTTAGGCCCAGTAAGTACATTTTAAGAGTGATTTTGCATTGTTGATGCTTACACAAAACAAAGGATTACTTTGCATTTTTGTGAGTGTGCAAACTCCTTCAAATTTTGGGAAAACTGTTTTTGGTTATGTTCTTTTACTGAGCTCTGGAAACAGATATTGTAGTTGTTATGTATTTGTTTTAGTAAAATCTAGCCATTAGAAAAGCTACTCTAAGCAAGTATGTGTATCCATTTATACACTGTTATGGGACTCCTTGTTTCCTAGCCTAGCACTGAAGTTATTAAGTTAATAGTATGTGGAATATATAGTCTTAAGGGATTCGGTACTTGAGTAGAGCACATAAATGATAAAACTGAAATAAAGAACTACAGAATTATTGGAGACTCCAGTTGTAGTGTACCTTGTAAAAACTCGTATTAAAGTATGTTTATTTTTAATCCAGGTATCCTCAGTGTTTGCATATGTTAGAGCTGCTCCAGTATGAACATTTCCGCAAAGAACTGGTAAATGCTCAGTGTGCTAAATTTATTGATGAGCAACAGATTCTTCACTGGCAGCACTATTCACGGAAAAGAATGCGCCTCCAGCAAGCACTTGCAGAGCAGCAGCAACAGAACAACACCTCTGTGAAATGAAGAACACTTGGAAGAGTGATGAGAAGGTGTACTTCGTGTCAGCTGAAGTATTTACAAGAGAGGAATGAAGCCTTTTGTAGGTGTGTGTGTGTGTACATCAAGCGACTGGGGTTGGTTTTTTTAAAGATAGAAGACTGAAACACCTGCAGTTTATTTTGTAGCATGGACAATTTTGTAAGAGCGTTACTTACAGTAGTTATTGATTCCTCTTGATTTTGAAAATAAAACATGGTTTTGAAGGCACTGACATTTAAGTAACAAAAAGTGTAGCTCAGAAGTCTGTTCTTGGGAGGCATTTTCCCCGAATAACCATGTGTCTCAAAAGTGTAGCTAAGAACTGCCTCATGTACTACTTTTTACAACTGCAGGATGAGCAAAGTTGAAGTGATGATACTGTACAAAATCTAAATTGTGGATTTTTGTCTTGAAACTGAGCTGAGCTATTACTTGTCACTTCTGGGACATGTTTTACAGATAAAAATCAAATTGGGATGAGACAAGGACTGCAGCAGTGGAAAAGAAATAAGTAATAATGAACTTTGCAGATACTCAACAGAAGGAAATAGGCTGTAGCTGTATCTACTCTGTTAAAATCAGCTTACTTTAATCTTGGCTTTCTGCCAGCAAAATAGTGGCTGCTTTTAGGGTTCTCTATGTCTAGTGAAAACAATGTGTTACAAAAAAAAGGTGTAAATGCTTAAAGTATTGGAGAAGCATTTGCCACTTATTCCTCTATAGTTTTTATTGTAAGAACACAAATCTTGACAGCTATCAGGGATTTAATTTTTGTATTTTAGATTGTATTTGTGCTGCATTCATGTTGTATTTCATATCCTTGTAGGAGCAAGTACTGCAACAGTTAACATGTGATGAGTGACACCAGGACCATCAGCTTTCAGCTTGTCGTACTTACACTGAACAGATAAACCATTAAACATCTCTAGTGCTGAAAAAATATCCTAGCAGCTTCAGCAGCTATGTAAAGTCAGATTTAGTAAGAATAAGCAGGTTTTTCTGTTTCTTGTGCCCCGTCCCCCTGCCCTTCACTATTAAAGGTATAATTTAGCAGTTAAGTCTTACTCTTCAGTAATTGTAGGCTACTATCTCTGTTTATAAAATGGGCTCAGCTCCTTTGAGAGACTGTTTGCAAACTCAAGTTTATTTGAACATAAAAGGAAAGATACAGTTTTTTTTTCTTGCAGGATTTTAGTGGAAGGTTTGGACCTAGAATTTAATGACATTTATCTTGACTAGTGTGAAGTAATTAACCATGAAAGTTTTAAGAAAGGTTAAAGATTCATTGAAAGGACACTGCAAACAAGTTGAGATTAACATCTTTGTAAATGATTGACTGCTGGAGGATTTAGTCTTCAGTAAACAACATACGCACAAGCTCTGCTTTAAAACATTCTTCTTCAACCAGCTTCTGAGGCTGAAAGAAAAGTTAAGATGTTTTAGAGGCAATTCAAAACCCTGTTCTAGACTAAAGCCATTTGTACATACTAACATTAGCTATACTCCAGCAGTTGTTTTTCTGGGGAGGGGGGGGTGGAGCAAGCAAAGTAAGAACAACTGAAAAATGCCTGAGGGTTTTCTGGCTTTGGAAGAGGCATTTCTAAGAAAGTAAATGCTAATTTAAATAATATGCACAAGTTAAAACTTGAGCTGTAGTCTGTTTGAATCAAGAGTATATTGCACATAACCTGGTTTCACTCACATAATTCAGCATTTGGATTTTTTTAAATTTGAGGAGCTGCACGTCAGGAAGCTAAAGAATTTTCTCTGCCCCTCACCACCACATGTTAAGTGTATGTATTTTCTTTATTGTGTGTTTATTATAGACAACATTATACAGAAAGCAGAGTGGTTCTCTCTTGAGGAAGCTTGAGCCAGGAAGAGTGTGGGTGGGATCATAAGAGCTGCTCTTAATTGTGTGCTCTTTTTAAATAGAAGAGGGTATCAGAAAACATGCATGACATTCATTTACAGCCATAAACTCCTGACAGTTTCCCATATGAATGCCTGAAGATGCAGAGCATACAGTAAATCACTTACTGTTCCATATTTAAGTAGTGTAGGCACTCCTGTTAGTTTCAGATTCTTCCTGAATTCGTTGTTGGGATCTTTCCAGCTGTTCAGGAAAAAGGAGTTTAAGCACAGCTTGTAGAGGTGCAGTTAGCTTGTTAAAATTCCTTCAAAAGGATGATGATTCCTTCAAAGACCTTCAAAGGTCTTTGCCTCACACCTCCCCAACCCACTTCTTAGAACAAGCATGCAGGTAGTTCACACTAGGGATGGCGTAGACCTCAAAACTCAAAAAGCAAGCTTCATTCCTTGCAGAAAAGGACAGCTCAGTCAGTTGTTCCAACATGTTAGTTAACCTCCAGCCACGAATAGCAAAGTTATATCAGTTGGCATTAAAACAGTTACTTACTAGGCTCTGTCTCCTACTAGGCAGTAGATGAATACAGACTCATCAGGCATATTGTGAAGTTCCTTCCTCACAATTGGTTCAGCTAGAAAGCAATTTTTAAAATCTATTAGTAGTCAATACTTTTACTGTGCTACAGAATCACATGGATCTACTTTGCCCAACAAGGCTGCCAATTAATGTTTTTTCTGCTTTAGGTAGAGATCTGTATTTTTTTTTTCCATCTAGTTATCCACAAGCTTTGTAGAATTTACATGCTCAAGGCTGAAGGGACTGGTCTTTGGAGTAAAGGCCAATTGTTGCTTTAACAAGTAAGAAAAATAATCAGTCTCCTGTCTGTAAGAAAGCCCATCAGAACAGTGGTGAGCAGTTGCCATTTGTACTCCGGCGTACGTCATCCAGAAAGTTCAGTGCAGTGTTTTTTGAGGAACTGCTTTAGTACTCCATGGCCAGACACTGACTGGTAGGTCACTTCTGCCTCCTGACTTACACAGCGGAGGTGAATTAACTGATGAGAGGATTCCCATCTAATGGTTAGCGGGGCCTTTGTACCAGCCTCCGCTGAACAGCACGTTAGTTCACATGCCATTCAGGGGAATGCGGCCAGCAAACCGAGAGCAGCAGGGGCAGCTTGTGAGGCAGCAGCTTTAAGCAGCGCCTCGTCACAGCCCGCACTGCCCGTCAGACTGACACGCTGGAGCCCCGGAGCTCGCCCAGTGCACTCACGGCCCTCGAGGAGCAGGCTGGGTGCGGAGGCGGGATGCCGGGAGGCCGCTCCGCACCAGGAGCTGCTGCTGGCCCGCCCCAGGTGTTCCGGGACGGGCAACCCGGGGCCTCTCCGGCTTCCTCGGGCAAACCGGAGGGGGACGTTGCGTACCCGCGGGCAGGGGCAACCGGCCCGAGAGGGCGGGGCTCGGCGCGG